TGGGAAAATATGGAATGCTGGAAAAGGATTACAGTGGTTTTTACATTTACGAACAGTTACACTGCTGGTCACAAGAGAGGTCTCACATTACTGAAAGTACACATATTTGCTGGAAAATAAAAGTCTCTCAAAAAGAAAATAAAAGAAAAGGAAAAGCAGCAGACATTTGAACAGCTGGAAGCATTTTAGGAAACTACCAAAAGGGAGGAAAAAAAAAAATTAGAATAATATTTCCCCTTCTGTAGTAAGCATCATAGTGGTGATATAATACATTCTCAAGAGGCTTAATCACATCTACTGTTTAATCCTCAAAGGTTATTTCATAAAACAAAAATTAGTGGTGTCAACAGAGTTTCTTCACAAAAACCCTGAAGCTGTCGTTCTAAGTTATATTTATATTTCTTCCAGCTCCCATCTTTATCAAATGTCCCAAGAGCTATAAATCTGTGACAGTAAGCTACAGGCCACTGTGCTCTGGTAAACCCCAAGATTTTCTTCCTTTCTTTGTCTATATCCGATTTCAGTATTAAGAAGATGTTGTTTGACACCACTCTGATAAAACCTTGAAAAGAATGTTGTTTACAGAAGGATCAAATGAGACAGCGAATTAAAGACTAGCAGTCATGGGCATAAAAACAGTCTGGCTATTATATATATATATATTTTGATAAAGTATCTACACTCTAGAACCAGCATCACTTGATTTTCTTTCAAATGAAAATCTAGGAGTAATCTCTTAATTTTAAATGCTCTACTTATTCTGCAAGTTATGCTTTATTTTCTTTACTGTAGTGCTACCAGGGCCATGTCAGCACTAGGATTTCCTTTTGCTAAGTTCTTTTTGTCACAATGAATCTTTCAACGTGTGCCAACTCCAAATAAACATTATTGGCAGTTTGCTCCAGTACAAAAACCGGCTAACAAACAACACAAAACTCCCTTAGCAACACCCTTGAATTCCCTTTAAAATTTACTTCCATTAATTTTTTTACACAGGGTTGTTAAAATTACATTAATGAGCTATTGTATCCTTTTGAGAAATTCCCATCTTCACAGTGTGTTTTTACTCACACTTAAGTTTACATTTGTCTACTTTTTGTGGCAGTGCTATTCATAGGAAACAAATTCCCACCACGTAAAATCAGACAAAGAGGAAATAATAGGGTAAAATATCAAATACTACCAAATAGCACACAGCCTGCTAAAAGCCAGGGGCCAGTCTTCCAACCAGCCCTCACTCTTATCTATCCCTTCCCAGAGATCCACCTTTTCTGGTTGAGGTTTTTTGTCTTTATACTTACTAGCTTCTCTTCCTCCTCCTCATCCCTCGGCCTTGGTTCTCTTCCTCTCTTGCTTCTTTCACAGCATTTCTGAGCAGGACACTTATGATACCTTTTGTAACAACCTACAGAGGACGTCTAAAAGACAAGGCCATGTCTAGAGAAAAATTAATCACTTTTTTGTTGTATTGAATAGGCACTCAGCATTTCATTATTTACTTCAAGAGAAAAAGAAAACCCCATGGATAATATTTCCTTATTCACCAATGTTCACTCACTCTATAATGTGCAATCTGCTCTGGCCTATCCTGGAAAACTATCTTTGTTTTGAATTATTTTGCCCCCACCAAAACCTGCCCTCCTATACTTTAAACACTTCCCCAGCAGTTGTCCACTCATCATCACAGGGAACTCCACAGGAACAAACATGCAGGGACCAGATTCAGGCCATACCTATGCAACAACATTGTCAACACCTTTCCATAGTACTTGTCCTCTGCAGTGGAACCATACAAATGCCTACAAATCCATATTCACTGAACCATGACAGACTTCAGCCAGTAAAGCCCTTAAGGCAAGGTGGGCAAAACTGAACCACCACTACACAATGAAACAAATATAACCAGTAAGAGACAGAAAGATGAAAGAATTCAGTTAATAGGAGAATACTTCTCAGAAAACAACTGCTGCCTCCTGAACACTGAAGCTCAGCAGAAGATCTGCAGAAGACAAGCCTAGGAACTAAAAACTAAGCTGAATGAATGGTTTGTCTTTTGTATTTAGCTTTAAAGTTTGCTCTTCTATCCAGACCTGAAGGAGACAGGCTAAATGGCTTTGTGTAACAAAAGATACTATTTGTACTTACAAACATGGCCACGCATATTGGATTAACACAGCTACAACAGCATGGCTACCTTAAATGTTATACTCCACTATGTAATATTTGTGGGGTCCCTATTTTATTCCTTTGTTTCTCCTTTTTTGTGTTGTAAAATACCTCCTGTCTGCACACCCTAACATTTTCCATCACTTACCTGTGCGACTACAGTTTTTCTTCTCCCCTCTTTTTGCTCCTGAACTCAGACAGAGTTCTTAGTTTTCCATCTAGTCTTTTTTTCCAATTTCTCCTCTGCTGCAAACAATTTACTTTTCCCCAGAACACAACTCCCGCGAGGAATAGGGTTAATAGAGTTTAAAGAATAGCCATGAGCATGTGAGAAAGACCCACCCAAGCAGTTCTGGGTCATGCCACTCAACACATGTCCTAATACTGAATCCAATGTGCGTACCAAAGATCATTCCACCTGAACTCACCCTGAAGGTGAGTTCAATTTGCATTTAATCACCTGCTCCAACAAGATCAAATTTTCTAAGAATACATGCTAGAGGATTTGCTCTCTCAAATTCCATCCTTAAGCTCCTATGCAATGGAAGCCATCCTAAATGAAACCAGGTGATCCAATGAAATTATTTATTACTGTTCCACTAACATGAATATTCAAACTTTTACAAGTTTTCACAAAGAAGCAGACCCCATCACAACAATATTTTATTCAGAATTATGAAGACATAGGCAATCTTCCATAAAAGAATTCAGTTCTGTTGAACATTTTTATGAGTCCGTGATAAATGTTTCAAAGTCCTGGTCTAAGTCTGAAACAAGGGCATCCACAAAATCTTCAACTGAAGGTGATTTCTGAAGCATTCCTACAAAAACAAGACACCAGACTCTTAGCAAGAATACTACGACCTTGAAAGCTTTGTTAATAGTAACATTGCTAACTAACATCTAATGTCACAATATGGCAGAAACAGCTATTGTGTTAACCTGTTAAATAGTAGATGCAATTACAGTGCATAGAGATTATTTAATTTCTTCAAGCTACCTGTTACACATTATCACAGAATTGACAGGTTTCAAGACTGTTAACTTATTTTTATCATTACAGTCTTGCTTAAGCAGGGAATTATATCCATTTTACAGCAATGTATCCATAGACTCAGTCATTTCCAAATGACTGGAATAAATCGGTGATGGAGCGGGTATCTAAATCCTTATCTGCTGAGTCTCAGGTCTGACAGACCCAGGAAAAAAAACATAATTTCTCAAAATGCTACACATTTTAAAAGCATTTAATTTAGCATTTGAAGTACAAATACCTCTGAAATTTTTCACAAGGCATGAAACATACCCAAATAAAAGCATATTCAATGCACTGCCATTTTAGTTTTGCTTTTTTACAGTACCAGGACTTACCTTTTACTAAGCATTTTAATTAGTGCATCTGTTAGCTGTAGCATATGGCTACAGAATAACAGACAGGGAAATTAACATAATGAAGAATACTTTGACAGGTAATTCCATGAACAGAGCCCCTAAAAATCTCACACCTTCCTCCCCAGAATCCCAGTTTTTAGAAAGCATGAGAATATATCCTGTAAATTATTTTCAGATGTTTCTCTGTGCTTAACATTACATTAATTTTGGTCTTTTCACTGTTATTAATATTTTCAAGATTATATGTGAAAACTTACTGTGTTGCTTGTATCAGAAAAAAAATCAAAACAACAGTTCAGCTGCCAAATAATGTAAAATTTAATCTTTGTACTCCTTTGAACTGATCTATTCTTTCTAACAACTGCCAGTGTAAACATAACCTTGTTCTGCCCTTTCTGATGAGCGTACCTACTGAACATAATTTTATATTCTTTCACATCCTCAACAATATTTGCTTCAGTGGAAATTATAATTGCATGCTGCTAAAAGACTGTAATCTTTCACTATAACACAATTGATTCAAACCCCACCAGGAAACAGACCGGCTTAAGGTAATTTTGTGTAACAAAAAAGAATTTTCTTACTAAGACCTCACAGAATTCCATTTCAATCTGATTTAAACACATATTGCAAGTGTCAACGCAAACTGCCGTGACCCAGTCAGATTAATACTGAGCACTAAAAGGAAAACAATTCTCATACTCTGTATAGGTTGACTGAAATGCTGTTAGATGAGGTTTGTATAAAGCTTTCCTCAAAATGAAAGAACAGAATCAATATTTCCAAATACTTGGTAAACTCATTTTCTACTCTAAAGTTAGTAAAATTGCTGTGGAATTACTTGTAGTTCACAATGAAAAATGGCTTGCTACATGCTGGGCTGAGAAACAGATGCCTCCAGATACCAGCTACTAATCTGACCTCCCCAGAGAGTCACGGCCTCTTGCAGACTCCCTCTCTCATGTTCCTGAGTGGGCTGGCTGAGGGACATGCATATTTGCTTCCTAACAGCCTTGGAAAAATTCCAGTTTAAACTCATGTTATTTTCCTGCAGTTTTCTCAGAAGTGGAGAGAATGCCTTAAGAAGGTGACACGGATGTCAGCCCACTGGAACATGTACTGTCACGCATGGCTACTGGAGCTTCACCTTAAACTCAGCTGGAGCTCTCTGGTCCCAACAGTGCAATTCTTTTTGCCTTTTGCTGGCCTCGTTTTGCCTCAGATATTTAACTCTGAACACACTGGCTCCATTTCCAGAGACTGAACAGTAGGAAGACCTTCATGGGTGCCACCCATCTGACCTTTCTGAGAGGTCTACTTTATGATTAGATGAGGTATGCCTATGAAGAACCTACTTTTCCCTGTATCTCAGAACAGGTATACATATCTCAAGTTGGTGAAATTATTCCTTACTCCCAATTTTTAAAAGAACCATTTTCCTATAGCAAATATGTCCTTTCCTACCAGATATCAATACGGAGGGATGACTGTAATGCTTCATAGGCAGTATATAAAGATGGCCATAACTGACATAACCACCACTCCCCCCAAGTTGCCAATCATAAAAACCTCCGTCCAATACTGAGTTTATAAAAATCAGCCAGCCCAGATGATGTTCAGCCAATTCTTCTGACACACTACAATTTATTCTGCTGTGGACAATTCTTAAAACTATGATTATCAATATGCTAAAGAAGAAAAGTTAACAGTATAAAGATTAGGGGGAAGAGAAGCGACTGATGCTGGGATTATCTTCAAGTAAATTTAATTTGCCTCTTACATAAAAATGGCAAATCGTAACAAAAACTTTGCAGCCCTGTGTATTACAAAATGAATAAAAGAAACATAATTAACTACAGTACGCTTGGATGTATTTTAGTGATGCTGAATACAGTCATACCAAATCTCACTCAAAACTTGTTACAAGTTGCATTCATCTAGACTCCATACGGTTTGCTTTAAATATGTAGAATAATTCAAAATTCTTCTGGCAATTCTAATGTCCAATGACCTCACACCCAGTAGTTCCAACTTCTATTACTACAAACAGATTTCAGATTTCTTGCACTAGTGGTCTACTGCATTGCTATTTTCCTGTCACTGACATCAAAACCAGATGCTAGCAGAATTTCCTTTTGCAAAGGCAGGATGAAGAGTAACTGAGGTCATTGCTGAAAAACTCCTACTGTAGTAAAATGATCATACCCTTATGAAATATATAAGTACAGATTTTAGGATAGACAACTGCAAAAGAAACAGATAGTAATGGTATTTCCGTGTTTTAACCTCTTACTCTACACAGATCTGTTAAGAATGGTCATCTCCCTTTAAACTCCATTAAAATATATCAAAGCAAGATCAGCTTTGATATATAATAAGTACTCAGCACTTCAGTCTAAATGATTTAGTAAGATGTCCACAAGGTCTGATGGTTGCAGTTTTAAAATCTAGGCGTGTATTTTATACATTCAGCCCAACTCCTATTTCAGCTCAGTCTCTCCCAAGCCTAAGGCAACTACATGGCTTATCTTCCCTGCTTTGAAGTTTTCTTTCACATTGCAGCACCGTGGTTAACCACACCCTTTTGAGAGACGGTTAAGCTATAACCTACAATCACTGAAAACTGGGAGAAGAATAAAGCCTGTGGCAAAATTTGGCCTCTGTCCCTTTGGAACACTAATTACTTTGGGTCCCTGTAGTTTTCAGTTACCGTATGTTGCCATTCACCTTTTAGGCTTTAAGCATATTCCTTGTACAGAGAAGATACACAATCATTATCTGAAGATTTTTACAGCCTACTCAAATCACCATTATACCATGAAGGACAGTTTGAGGCATGGAAAAACAAACTTTCAAACTGCATTGGAACAAACGTGTTTACTGACACAGTTGGTTTGATCACCAACCAGCTGAGTGGGACTGTCTGCAATATAACACAGCATTAACAAATCAAGAGCACAACTTCTCCTGCATTTTGTAGGAGGGCTTCTTCAGAGACCCAAAGGGCAACGTGACTGCTGGAGAAGTGTACTCCAGGATATCTTCCATGCTTTCTGTTCCCAGATCATCCAGCCCAGTACTTTTCACACTGCAATTCACATTCTGCACTTTCTACCTATGCACCTGGGTTTCTTTCCAGTCGGGGAGTGCCAAGAGAGAGAGGGAGGGATGGTGCACACCTGAATCTTGTTCAGACCTGCAACCATCACACAACGGGACCTGGAAGGGACACCTGGGTTACATACCGTTAAAGGCATTTGGAGTCCCTAATGCCATACAGCCCTCAGAGGGAGAGCGTCTGCAAGAGCCTTCTGACCAACCCAAAATGACAGAGGAATCAAGTTCTTCTCAAACTGTATTCCCTCTCTAAAGAAAATAAAAAGCAAGACTCTTCTACAAAGCATTGTTCACTCATTTTTTAATTGCTCCTGCATTTGTGACTTCCGTATTTTGTACATTATCAAAGGGTTAAGATAAAGGGGTCGCTTCAGAAAACGTTAAAAAAGGTTTCATAAAACCTTTCTGAGTTGCTTTGTTTTTTAATGGAAAAAAATGCCAGGAGAATCAAATACAAACAAACAAAAAAAAAAGTATAGTGTGTTTTTTAATTAAAGACTAGTCCAAACAAGAATCTTGTCAGTAACTTCACTGGAAGGCAGGTCAGATCCTTTTCTCTTCCCTAATCAGTACATCTATGGAATCATGTGGGAGAAAGATGAAAAGCTAGGGTCATATCCAAACACAAAAGAAAGACAATAGATAGCTTCTGAGAGGAAAGCTGTAACAAAGAAACTGTATAAATGAAACCTGCTTGCAAAGTTATCTGTTATCAAACAGTCAATGAATATGGCTAACTTCATAATGAGATACGGAAGCACTTCCAGGGTAGAGGCTACATATGTGCATCCAAAAGTCAGGCTTTTACAAGTGCATTTCTTTACATCAAAAACAAAACAAAACAAAACAAAACAAAACAACAACAAAAAAACAAACAAACAGACAAAAAAACAAACAACACAGCTATGGAACTGGAGGGTTTTGAAATATGGCACTAGTGAGCTCACAATCTGGACTGTTTCCCTGAAGAAGAGTAAAATCAACAAGCTTTTAAGTTGGGTGGAATTTGTCTTTAATCAGTAATCTGTCTGGTCATCTGATCTGGGAGTACAGTTTTGCAACTTATGAAAACCAACGAAAGATGGAAAATAACTATTCTGGAATATCCGTAATAGAAGGAAAAAATGCAGTAAAAGGAGTCAAGAGGCTAACTGGAGAAGTAACTGTTCTTAGTTTTCTCCTTAAATTCTCAATTTAGGTAATAAATACAGAGCAATTAAGTATGAACATATAAAAAACTTTTCTATGACTTAACCTCAAATAATCCCAAATTTAGACTATAATCAAACTATTAACTTGCCAAAAGACCTGAATCACCTCAATTCAGTTTTTCAGGGATTCACTCAAGCATGCTTAAGTTTTGCACTGTCCACAAATGAACACAATGTGCAGAGGCAAGATTCAGCTGATGAATTCTGGCTATTTTTATGATCTTGAATAGATTTTAAAATTTCTCTTTAAATTAATATGAAAGAAATACAGAGTATAAAAGTGAAATTCAGAATACAGAAGTGGCCGGGGAGATAATCTGAAGCAAGGAAGATGGACCCTTGAAACCCAGGAAACTACAGGCTGGTCAGTCTCACCACAACCCCTAAGAAGATGGTGGAGCAGATAATACTGGAAACCACTTCAAAGCTCATTAACAACAAACCAAATCATCAGGAATAGTCACCACGGATTCACCAAGGGCAACTCATACTTAATGAACTTTATAACCCCATATGATGAAACAACTGGCCGAGTAGATGAGGGGAGAGCCATACATACTGTCTAACTGGACTTCAGCAAGGTTTTTGACACTGTCTCTGATAAGATCCTTATGGAGAAGATGTTATGTACAAGCTGGATGATCAGACAGGGAGGTGGATTAAAAACTGGCTGAATGGCCCCCCCGAAGGGGTTGATCAGTGCAAGAAAGTCTCGTTGGAGGCCAGTAACTAGTGGTGTATCCCAAGGGTCAATACTGGGTCTGGTCCTGTTTAAAATTTTCATTAATGATCTGGATGATGGGGCAGAGTTCAACAACGAGAAGTGTGAAGTCCCGCACTGGGGAAGGAACAACCCCAGGCACCACTATATGCTGGGGGCCACCCAGAAACAAAGCAGTTTGGATGAAAAGCACATTAGTGGCATGCTGGACACCAACCAAATGGGCCCTTGCTGCAAAGAAGATGAATGGCATCCTGCCCTGCATTAGCCAAAGTATTGCCAGCAGGCTGAGGAACCCGATCCTTCCTTCCCCTCTCCTCAGCACTGTGAGGCCACACCAGAGCCCTGTGGCCAGTGCTGGGCTCCTCGGTACAAAGACAGGCACACACTGGAGAAAATCCAACAAAGGCCCACTAGGATGACTCAAGAACTGGAGCATCTTGCCTATGATGAAAGGCTGAGAGAGCTGGGACTGTTCAGTCTGAAGAAGAGAAGGCCCAGGAAGATCTTATTAATGAGTATAAATACCTGGACGGAGAGTGTAAAGAAGATGGAGCCAGGCTCTCCTCAGTGGTGCCCAGTGACAGGACCAGAGGCAAGGGGCACAAACTGAAACACACGAGGTTCCCTCCGAACATATGGAAACAGTTTTCCTCCAGAGGTCACTTCCCTTCCAGCCTCAGCCATTCTGTAAGTCTGTGAACACCTCTGCCATTTTTTGTAGATCATAGTCTGTGCTGTTATCACCAGTATCACTCATGTTAATGCTGACACAGAGGAGTTACTGCTGTCTGGTTCTGCTATTACATGTGAACAAACAGACCAGCAGGTGCACTACTATCACTGACCTTCAAGAGACACACAATTCTGTTTAGTGGTTTTTGGATTTAAAGAAAAAAATTCAAAATCAAAATGTGTATCTTTTAAACATAGATTTTTCTGCTCACATCATAAAAGATCCCATTATTCTACCATTAATGATGAGTTCATCACCCTGCAGTATGCACAAACAATCCTTAAGCACAGCTTGCTGTCTTCTTCAAATCCCAGGCTGCACAGCTATTGCCACTTCATCATTCACCATCCCTCCTGACTCCCTGATGAACTACCTGCACTAAATGAACTGAGCACTGTAAATACTGAAAAGCCCAAAACATCTAATTACTGCATTGTAAGAGTTAAACTTGTTTATGTGCCTTCACTGTACCTTGCCAGACTTCATAATTATTTGGATTTCCTTTAAACTTAAAATAAACTTGGAATTTCCTGGACTGTGATGCCACTTTTTCAGATTAATTACAGCAGCAAGTTCTTCCCAAAATAACCAATGCATACTCTCAATCCCAAACTGACAGTACCATGTCCCACTGCGTCCTCTCACATGCAAGGGGAAAAGCCAGTTGTTCTTCCATAGATTTTATGTAAGTCCATCCACAGATGAATTTTGCAAACTTAATTCAAGTACTATTTGATTCAAGGGAGCACACTGCCAGTAACTTCAACATAACCTCTAAGACATTCTAGGAAAATTCCATGCTCAGTAGCATTAAAAATGCATCCTAGGAATAGAGGAGATGATGAGCACAATTGGTGTTTAAAAACATTCTTTCTTTCTCTACTGTATGACTTACAATATAATAATTGGATTTGCTTGTAAAGGTGTATTTTTTCATCTTACAACTTGTCTACTTAATCCATAGTTTTGGGTTTTTTGAGGTTACAAACACAGACTCTTCAAGAACAGTAAAAAAGGCAAGTTTGCAAAGTCATGCTGGATGAAAAATAAACCTGTAGATCAGAAATATAAATAAACTAATCTAAAGAATATTTCATTGCTTAATATATGATTAGGCTACGGAGAGCAGAGGTTATGGTGTCAAACATAAAGAGATGGGTCAAAGAACTGGAATTTCTAGTTATGAAACTGTGCCAATCTCATGATGAAATACAGACACATTACCACTGTCTTCCTTATCTGTAAAAAAATAACCCACAACTTCCAGGCAAACTGGAGTGAACAGAGGCCAATGAATTAATATTCATCCTTAATGTTAAGAATTCCGGAGGGAACTGTAAGATGCCCCATTAGATGAAGTACTCACCAGGTGTTCGTATCGGCAACAGTGACACTAATGCAAAAATATTCTGTTTGAATACTGCAACACTGCAGAGTAAAGTCTTTACCCTGACCTCATTGCTAGATTCAAGGTAAAGTCAGTAGTTTCTCAAACTTGTCTCATTCTCCAGACGTTTTTTCAAAATGCATAAAGCACAGTCCTTTTGCTATCACTATGAATGATTTTTAAAAGTTGATTTCCAGATTCAAAAGGCAAATATGGTACTGAGAGGAATAATTAACTATTTTCTTTATTATAGTCTTCAGACTTCCATTTCATGAGAATCTATACTTAAGTACTGATATAACCAAAGCTATTTTGATGATGCCAAGATGACGTGGCCAAACTAAGTTCAAATTCTTATATAAAATGACCAGATCTATTATCAATTCCATGTATGTAAAATCTACTATTTTTTGTACCCAAAAAAGGGGTCATCTATCTTCCTTCAGGTATGTGATACTCTTACTCTAAATTCTTTAAACAGCCTTGTAATCCAACCCTCTGCAGCACTTCACCTCAACTATCTGTGTTTTTATGCTATGTATCACAAGTTCTCCTGACCATGACACAAATCTGATAACCAGTCCACTTAACTAAATAAATGAACAAATTTTCTTTCATAAATCCTATGAAAAACATAATAAAACTTAAAAAGACCAAATTGGGAAACACAGTTAAATTATTACTTCCTTGAGCAAGGGAGCAAAACAGGTTTTTTCTCTACCTTGAACCATAAGTATGGGCTCTTTTCCACCGCCGTGTGCCAGCATCTCTCTACGGTAACGCTCACCCATTGCCCTGGAGAAACACAGATGTTAGAGCCAGCTGCAAACACATCCTGCTGAGCTTTCAGTCAGATTTGCTTCTAGGATCTCTACAGAACTAAAAGACAGAGATCAAATGAAATTTTCTACCCTGAAACAATGACTTGATTCCATGTTGACTCCTCAAATTCAAATTACATTTAAAATTATACTATGAGTAACTGAACTAGACAAATTTTGTACATATGAATATGTGTTGGTGTTTATAGAAGTTAATTTGAGAACAACATTTCAGCCTTCATTGCTCCAAGGGGAAAAGTTGCTCTGCTACAATGCTCTGAACATTCACCTAAGGTATAAGAACATTTAGTTTGTGATCTCACAATTTACTTTTTAATTTCACAAAGCAAAATGAGTAGGATAGCTATACTTACCTTTGAAGTTGGTGACACGAAGCCTATTTAATACCTGCAGTTGCTTTGATTTCAATAGAAAATTACAAGTAATTAGGCATCTATGAAAATCAAGCTCTCTAATTACATCTAAATACAGATTTCAGTGCCTCCCCACTGGCACAGCTGTATTTTAAGACATCAGCATGGCTTTTTTTGCACCAATGAACATGTTCCACAGTATATTTTACATCTGTGGTTATATCCTGTTTTGTAATCCTCCTAAAAATCAAGAAAAAGGCTAAAGACTAATTGTCATTAAAAATTGCATCTATCTACACAGCCACATTTGTTTCATGTTTTCCAGAAGCATGACACTTCATTCTGTTAAATGTTTTCTCTGGTTTTACCTATCAAATGGGTCCTGAGCAAAACACTGTTTCCACACCATGGAGGCAACAGCCCTAGACATGAGGTAGGAGTAATATTTGGCACCGTAACCCACAAGATGACTGAATCGCAGCTGCCAGGCCTGTAAGAGAAAATAAACAAAAATAGAGAAGTCATCTTTCAGATCCGCAAATTGTTCCGCAATATGATGGAAGAAATCTCATACTATTAATGGCAAACAGTCAAAAAAGAAAAAAGGAAAAAAAAAATACCACCAGAAATCCCAGAATAGACACACCCTTTATTATAAGAAGTATTTTTCAACTTAAATACTATATGTCCAATACACTGCTCATCACAATTGAAACAAAACATAAATAGGGTGAGAAGGAGAGAAAACAAAGCAGTAAAAACATGTATTCATATTTGATAATAGCTGTGCTGTTCTACTGGTCTTGAAAGAAAATCACAATTCCCTCATTATAAGTAACAACACATTTTATCGTCTTCCATGTGGGCAAGTGCAGTGCCACAATTGGAAAAGTTCAGTTTATAAGCTTTTGTCTCAAATAAAATGATAATAGGGACTTGCATTTAATACTATAAAAAATACAGCTTCCCACATGCCAAAAAACTCAAGAGGTAGACAAATCACATCCACATGCAATGTTGGTGTTCACAGATTTGCTTACACATTTTAAACACATATATATAGCATATTATCATCCATAACCATACTGTTATTGTTACTTGGCTTTAAGACTTATTCCAGTGATGGTGGACTCCTTTTTCAGTGCTTTTTGGCATTGACTGTTTATTTGTTTCCTTAGCAGAGAAAATCAGAAGTATCAGCCTTTCTTTCACAGAAATAAAAATACTCTTTTAGTTCCTTGGCTGTTAACAGAGTAATTTAAATTGGGAGAGACCTCTGAAGCTCATCTGGTCCAACCCTTGCTCACAGCAGAGCCAACTTTGATAAGGTTTCTCATCTCCAAGGACGAAGATTTCATCACCTCTCCAGTGCAATGTGGAAAGGCAAGCATGTTCAAGCTGAAAAGACATTGTTTCCCAACAGATCTGAGCATATGTTTTGAACAGAAGACTGATAAATGTATAGATGAAGGAGAAGCTTGCTCTGCACTTCTGACTCTCCAAGGAAACCAAAGAGAAGACAAGTCCCCCATCTTATTTTTCCTCCTATCTGAAGTCGAAGCTTTATAAAGAATCTTGTTATATGACTGTTGTCAAGACCTCTGTAGGTATTATAAAAAACAGAATTTTAATGAGGAACTAGAAGATAAAGTAACATAACAGATGTTTTAAATTTAAATCCATGGGCTGTCAGATGCTTTTTCTTATCCTGGAGTCAGTGGCTGAAATTCTGAGGCAGTCAAAGAGAAAAGTGAAGGGTCATTAGTAATTTTCCAGAACTATCTGACTGTGATTCTTTATCACATTGTAAGTAATCTCCTGATTTTTGACAGTGGAAATAAACTATGTTTCTTTATTCAAGAAAGTGCTTATCATCATATTACTCTTCATCAGACCAGTCAAAGATATATGTGGATGCCAAAAACATTACCAAGAGGGTGGAAAAAGAAAGTATTTGGCTTTTAGTGAGTCTTTTTACCTTAAAAAAATAGCAAACAGTGACCTATAGTCTGATCATTGTGAACAGCTGATGAGAAACAAAGTTGTTAGTTCCTTTTTCTGAGCAACACCTACAAACAAGTTCTCGAAATTCCCTGTAATTCAGGCATTCAAAACCTGCTTTTAACCAGATGGTTATCTCCCCCCTACGACAGGTGTTCTAAACAGATGGAATTTGCCATGGGTGAGCAATCCAGCCTCTACTGGTAGCCTACACAACTAGCTTTAAGCAGGAGCAGCAAAATTAGAGGAGGTAAAAAAAAATGTCTCTAGTCTTCAATTTTCCTGTGGGTCTTCATGCATGATGCAAATTCTAGAGAATGATTAACATTTTTTTTCCTTTTCTTTAAAGTAAACACCAGCTCTACCATATCTCACTGTAATGTAAGTACATAAAAGCATTCAGCTTGGATACAGATGATGCAGTTTGCTCTGAAAAGTATTGTGGTTGCTGTGTTTATACATTATAGCTACAGTTTTTCTAACTAGTTCCTTAATTATAACCATAATCACAAAACTAAAAGCACATTTTGAAACAGATCAGAGAGGCTGCATTTTTAGAAGACTGAGCAGGAAAACATCTCAGTTGTTATTTTTTTTTGTATAGTAAGTTTTCAAAGTTAGGATTAAAAGTTTCAGCTTGAAAGTACAACTCAGTCAGGAATGTGGAAAGCTCTACTGACTGGTTTCACATATTTAGAAATTTAAAAAATTTCCAAAGAGAACATTTCAGTGAAAAATACAAGTTGCTTTTTCTGCTACAAACAAAAATAATTTCTATGAGCTTGACATAGGCAAGAATATTTCTACCTCTCCCATCAGAAAGGCATTATTTTAATGCAACATATAAGCTGTAACTAGGACAGTGTGTCTTCCTCAACAGCTCAGATTACACTGTTGACACAAAAAGTTCTTGCATGTACTGATCTGCACCTAAAACAGCTCATTTGCACTTCCAGGATGATCAACTATTTCATTCATCAGGTTTGTTGAAACCCTCTATCACAATTAAGAAGGGAGAAAAGAACATCTTCTCAGCAACCTGTCCAAGACCAGAAGCTTGTTTCAGAGTCTACACCTAAAACAGGCCTCAGTACCCTCTGTTCAGATATGACCTTTTGTTTGACCTCATCTTGGCTAATACACTTGAGTAAGAAACTTGACATTGCTTCCTTTCAAAAGAGAAAAGGAAAGTATAGAGGAACACCAAGGAAAGACACTGCTCATCTCTCTCTCTGCATTTAGGGAGGCTCTCAATTACAATGAAGCTGAGAATTCAAAAATTCACTGGCAACAGGACAGTATCCAAAAAGGGAAACAAAACCAGAGGATGAGTCAATTTTCTTAACACAGATGCCTAAGACAGATAAGTTATAGACGACTCTCTCTTCCTTCACTGGAATGCATAAGGAACATACTTTTAGATAACTCAGGTTATATTATATGACTACCAACCTCAAAGGCATATTGCAGCTAAGACTGTTTTTCCTATTGCAAAGAGCAGTCAAAGACATCTAATTATAAATGCTACTTTTCCCTAGTGAAGTTTGAAGCCTACATTAAATTTTCAATTTATTTTTTTTTTAGCCAGTACAGACTTTCATAACTCTAGTATTTGATCATTCCAGAGGCTGTGGATGCTCCCTCCCTGGAAGCATTCAAGGCCAGGCTGGATTGGTCTTTGAGCAACATGGTGTAGTGGAAAGTGTCCCTGCAAGTGGCAGATGGGCTGGAACTCAATGGTCTTTAAGGTCCCTTCCAACTCAAACCATTCTATGATTCCCTATCACTACCTTTTTCTCAGTCCTCACAAAAGGTTTTTGACCAGGAACTCCTCATCTTCAATATTTCACCATTGTTCTATGGTCAATAAAAAATAAAAATGTCACTGTAAATGTATTTAAAACAAAATGGTTAACCATTCAGAGATAAAAATCCATTTTAATAAAATTACATATAGATGTAAAATTACTTGTTTCTTGTGTTACTTCCAATGCTGAATGATTTCTCTTCTGGAAAGGGTAAAGCCTAGACACATAGAACTAGGGCATCCTCCTTATTAATTGCTATATATTAGGTAAGCAGCTAGAAAGTTAATGAAGACTCTGAGTAATCATCTACTTCAGAAAGTTCCATGAACCCATTCCAGGATTTTATAAACCAGTGCATTTCACAGCATAGCCCATGGGTTATGATAATATGCCATCCACGGGTCATGTTCATGCCTGCTTTTTATCCAGCACAACACACTGAAATAAAGGTGTGTGACTGATCTGCTGCAGCTAAAGGGGCCTTTTTTCCACCAACATTATCCATCTTCTCTTATAACCATGTCTGAAATATTTCCAAAATTTCATGTGCAATGGCTTTCCATCCCATCATGTAACAAACAAAAATGTCTCACTGATACTTTTGCATACTTACACCTTACCAGGGATTTTTCAAAAAGCCCTTGCAGTATATATTCTTAGAGTAAGATTCAGTTCATTTTACTTTAGCTCCATTAAAATAGGTGCCTTGCCCAAACTAGTCCCATAGGCTTCCTTTGTAGTCAGAGGACGGAAGTATTTATCTTGTTATCTTTGGAGAGTCTACGACTACTGCTTTAGGAGAAATCTCAATTATTTACTACAACTTTTATCTTCTCCTTAAAAGTTAAGCCACTTCATTCATTTTAACAATACGGTTGGATCAGTTAAACTAAACTGTTTTGAAGACTACATAAACTAATTTATGATTCAATTATTTGAATTCTAAATTTAGAACTGTTAAGATTATCACAAAAATAATCTGATCTAAAAATTTACATATGATTCTAAAGACAAAACCAACAGAAAATAAATACAGGTAGTTTAATATATGCTAACACAGCTTTTGTTTGAGTGCGGAGAGTAATTTTTCCATGGAGCTTCACTACTTACATGGGATCAGTGCTACAAAATCCTACACCACCTCTCAGAAAGGTAAAAAAAAATCTATATAAACTCTTGACTAGTACTTGGACTTTTCAAAATGCTCTTTCAACAGTTTCTGCTGTCACTTCAGCTACTTCAAAGTATATTTAAGTTCATTTTGCTTTGCAACTTAAGACAAAAAAACACAAGTGAGAACCTGAAAAGACCAACACTAAATTAAAAAAAGTATTTTCATCATTTAAGTCTTCTAATTACATAATGTGTGCTACAGTAATTACATCAATGAGCAGGTTGTTGAATAGTTTCCACAAGGAACAATATTTGATGGAGATGATATCTGGTGCCCTCCCCCTTCTTAATTAAGTTCTTACTCTGGCAGGAAACCCAATGGAGGAGCAGCCAACTTACCTCCTTCAGGGACTACGGGGTGGAAAACCCCTAGGTCTGGCACTAACTTGATATTATTGCTCCTATTGCCCTTGAATTTAGCTATCAGCAAGGGTGGAAAACTCCCGAGAGTCATGGCTCCAGGCTCTGGTAAATGGGGAGCCAGAAGAGAACGGCGACTGGCATGCAA